TGTGTCCTGCTGATGGCTGTGCGGGAAATAAGATGCTTACGATGAAAATCTTGGATGGGAAAGGAAGCTTAAGAGGCAATTCTGCTGGTTTTTGTATGCCAATCTGTTGCTTTGAGGTATAGGAACCAGACTGTATTCACTTAATATATTTTGTTAATAGGGGAGGAACAAGCATCCGAGGAGGAGAACCGTTGTCGTAATGTGACATTAAAGGTGGATACTAATTGTGCTTTCGACCTGGAAGAAGTTGAACTAGACTCGGAGGCTGAGCTTATGAAGAGTATGGGATTGCCTCTTCAGTTTGGTGGGCAGTCAGCCCACAGGGACTTTGTGGTAAATCTTTAATTGCTTTATTTGTTCTGTTTACTCTTGTGTTTACAGTCATGGGGGCATGTCTGGTCCTCGGTTATTTTTGAGACTGCAGTTCATGGAAATGTGTCTGAGCTGGCTTTGAGCTGCCTGTCTCTCCTACTTGTAACAACACACAGCAGTTTGTAAAATCTGCGTGCCAGTTTGACTGAACAGGGTCCAGCTGTGCTTTATGCTTCCATATCTATATTCCTCTTGGTGCTAGAGACAGCTAGTTTAAAACAGCCATGGTAACATTGATGCTCTGCGTCGGGGCAACTAGTACACTCCAGTCTGAGCACGTGTGTTCACACTGTCTGCTTTAACTGTTTAGCTTTAGATACTAATATAAAAAGCTAGTTTTTCAGATCCCCCTTGCAGCTGATAAAGCCAGGCTGTTCCAAAGGTCAGGAGTGAGGCTTGGGTGCTCTGCTTCCCATAGGGAGCATCTGGGCTTTAGAGGAAGACTGAAGTTGTTCACATATGAGAAAAAGACAGTGGGATATCCACATTGTCTGCTGGATGGAATACAGAGCTCCCTGACAGTGAGAGAGTACTTTTGTGCAGAGCACTCCATGGTTCTGACCTGGTTAATTTGTAAGTAAATAGGACAGACTTGTACATGATTTTAATTGGTGGCAGGTAAACAGACCTTACAGGCATCCAACTTCAAGCCCAAACTATACATGCAATTTTTGTTGCTAAGTAGTAATGCTGCAAATAAGTTGAATGAGAAAATAATGGATGTTTTTTACTAGATTACTAGTAACCATCGTGTTTTGCACTGTGTGTATTAACATGACATTGTGAGGGATGTGGATGAAAGATTCTCTGAACCTAGCTTCTTTGTAGTCTACCTTATGTGTTTGTCGATGCAACAAAATTAGCGTTTGGAGCTGATGGGACATTTGGAGTAGTATCTGTACGTTTGCAGTCTTTTGCCTGTGTGAGTTATAGTCCCTCGTCGCCGCTGCCTGTTTACCTGTCAAACTTAATTTGGAAGTTTATGGAAAAAAATCGGCAGATTTATCTGATGGAAAACTTGCTTTTCTTGGATGCTTTTATCTTGTTTATATCTGTAAGCACAGGAAGCCCCACTGAAACAAGGGGAGTTGTATTTGATGAAACCAACAACTTGCCTTAGTGTTTCCTTTCAGTAACGGGTTTCTGTCTTCTGTTCCACTAGACAACTGCAGTAGTCTGAGTTAGTTGTAACAAATGAAATAGTTCTATTGCACAAATGAAAGGGCCACCTGCTGGAGAGGAGGCTATTTCCGTGTGTTTCTGTTGGCCAACTTGGACATCAGTGTGAGATGGGAAGAGTATTACACCCCTCTTTTGGGTCAGTGTCTTCAGATGTACAGAGATTCAGCTGCAGGATTTACAGAGCTTACGAGTATAAAGCGATGCTTTTTTTGTTTAAAGCACCCAAAGATGGCAAGGACTTAACATTCTGTTAGGCTGAGCGTTGTATGTTCACTACCCGGATAAGACACCTGAGCAGTGTTTGCTGGCCAGGCAGATACCAGGTGACAGTAAGAGTCAACCTCCCCAGCCCCCTAAAACAGGTCCTTGGTGTTACTGAGATACTGGTTTGCTGTTGATCTCAGCCCAGTGACCTCTCAGCTCCTGACCAACCTCCCTTTAGGATTTTGTAGTGTTTCATGTTGAGGTCTTTCCTTCTGAATCCTGGAGTTGCTAATGACGCCCCTCTCAGCAGCCCCACTTCTGTCTGTAATGCTGCCTTTTTTCTTGTGTGTCTTTCTATAGACTTTCTCACAGTTCTTTCTCACAGCTTTCTCTGAAAGTCAGCCAAGGTTATGCAGCAGGGGCCTATCAGACCCATAAATCCCACAGCCGTTTGTGGGGAGAAAACCAGCAGTGGAGCTGCAGTGAGAGGGAGGGTTAGAACAGAAACAAAAATGTGCTTGGGGAGAGGAAAGGGAAAGACTGCGTATAGATTGTGGACTTCTAAGTATGTTTTTCCACTATATTTTAGGCAACAGAACATTATAGAAAGAGAAGTAACATGAAGATTATGAAAAAGAAAAAGAAGAAGAAAAAAGAGTTACAGC